CCAGGCACGTATCTTGTACTCCGACCAGGAGGGACGAGTGGCCATAGCCCTAGCCTTTAACAAGGCGGTGGCTGACGGGCATCTGCAGGTACACATCATCATCATCATCACCATCATCATCATCATCATCATCATCATCATCATCATCATCATCATCATCATCATCATCATCATCATCATCATCATCACATAGCCTTGTCCTTCAACTAGACGGTTGCCGACGGTCATCTACAGGCACACACAAGATTCCTAAAGCACCCCGTTACACGCAACGATAAATTAATTGTGTCAGATTCGTCGTATGCGAGATTTGTCCGTTTTATCGAGTTGTGTAGTCTGTTTACACGTTCCAATCTATCGTCCAGTCTTCTTTCGATCAGGGAAATTCCTAGTCCTTGACTTGACTGCAGATGTACAACGCACCGGGTGACCTTGATACACAACTTCACCATTGACGATCAACTAAATAATAAAATTGCTAATAGTTACATAATAACGTATCTAATCAGGTACTCCGTTAAAAATTTGCTTATTTTGAGACGCTGATTCCGAATATGAAATCAATTTTTATCTACGATAACTATTTTTAACATTTTGAGCCCAAAGTTTAATCCTGCGCGACGGCAAATTTTAAAGTGGTTCTACGTCACAGCGCGTCTCCCTCAAGTGTGACCTTGATCGCACGGAAAATATCAGGCAGCGCTTGATTTCTCGACCGAGTCTCAAAGCCATCGTGCAATCGTCTAAACTATGAACAATCTTGTGGTTACACTTGACGATTTGTCTCATAATCGATAGATTGTCCAGTTTTTCTACTTGACCGCTGCGTGTAACAGGAGCGTCAAGCCTTTTCCTGCCAGTCTCACCCCTTCTCTACAAGGCCCAGCATTGTCACGGACTCTTTACTACAATTGAAAAGCAGTCATTGGAGCAAAATTTCACCTCTACTGTTAATAAATACCAGTGTTTTCTACAGTCTAGATATATCTATGTTTTCTAAAGGTTATAAATATCTATGGGTTTTTTTAAACAGTTTGTAGGCATTGAAGTTCATTATTCATTTCTTTTGTTGGATTCTAGAAACGATCGTTAACGTCTTCTTTCTCTCAAAATCGTCCACAGAGAGGCAGAGGTTTTAAAACACAATGCATACAATCCGACAATGAGAGGGTTGAACGCTTCTTTTTCTTATGTTTCTTCTTGGGAGTTTTTAAATCGAATATCTCGGTCTTTCTTCACCACCTAAATGGTCTAAATTGTGTCGATTTGGGGAGGGGGCTTG